AGTTTCGGGAGACATGAGCATACTGATTCTATTCTTACTGCAGCCGTCACATACAGCCTGAAGAACACATTGGTTACTCACATGTCATGGCTCCATGAGATCAGAGAATTAAGACGTGTTGCCCAGCGGCGAGAACCTTACATTGCCGCAGCTGTAGCAATTGTGTCGTGAGAGCAATCGATGTGCCTCGGATTTCAAAACGGAGTTCCACAAGAAGTCCGAACCGCAACATGAGCACGATGCACTGGCCGACTGGGGCTTCCACGAAGGTGTTCGACTGCGGTGTTTGGAATCAGTGCTTGCCAGTGAAGCGAGTTGCTTCACAGCCTGAGCATCATAGATCCCTCGGCCAGCCATCGGCCTGAGCTACCATATAGTATGAACGGCCGAAATGGTCATGGAGCATCCCTGGCTGTAGTTGAACGCCTTGTAGCCCCGACCAGTCTCTCGGGACATACGAGCATTGATTACAGCCATCACGTCGGTATATGTGGATAACCTTGCCGGGGACTCGGAGCTCACTGGTATGGTGGAAGGGCTCGACTTGGCTGATGTCGGGAGGGACATCGTGTATGCTTGACAGGCCCTCAACGGCGTCATCTGACATTCGAAATGCCATTGCTTCCCATTCTGAAATCCTCACCTAAGACTTGTGCTTCAGCCCGGGCAGCGGCCCATCTCCACGGGCGACCCACTGCTGCTGTGACACCGGAAAAGAACGAGGTCACTGCCTCCGACCATGCCCGAGTAGTGCTCGACTGCGGACTCAGGTCGGGATAATCCACCTCAGACTGCTGGGATCCTGTCGATACCCCTCCAGGGCCTCCACCAACGCCCTGAGTCTTTATCGGCCACCAAACAGGCCTCAAGCTGTTGCTCACCATCGTGGTGTCCACGTCCCCTGTGTGAGCGTGGTCACGTCGTCTCTTGAGCTGTGCAATGCGTTTGATGTCCCTCAACGCCGCAGCGTCCTCGGACAAGTACTGCCTCGTTCGCATCACACTAGTAGGGTCGGCAAGTCGCTCGATAAGCCTCCTTGCGTTATGCACTGATGCCCTCGGGACCATGTCGTCTCGGTTCACCACTGAGATCACCCCATATTTCTCCGCCGCAGTGGCAAGCGCATCGTCCATGCACGCTGGGGAACCGAACCCGACACATCTGAGGAAGTAGACTTGGAGGACCCAGAAGAGGACACGATGGCCCACGTCAGTGTGTCACAGCCAAGCATGATATCTTGGCGTAATATTATGCATGCCAGAGAGGCGATACCAGCTCCGAGAGAATGGCCCGTCAGGGAAATCCTGAAGCCCTCATCATGGAGCCGAGCAAGGCAGCTGCCGACCTCTCTAACGAGGTGCTGCGCGGCGACCAACATCCCTGATGAGGCAACTGTTGAGGACAGGACATGGGCCTAGGTAGTTACCCATATGGCAGTGTCCCATGGTACCATCAGCCAAGTAGAGGGTCCCCTGGAAGGCATTGAGGTCAGTTATGGAGTCCCCAATTGTGGTCGTGCCCGGAAGGATAAGCACTGCCCTTTTCGAAGCCCCTGGGGTATCCCCACCTCTACATGCCAGATAGAAGGTATGACCAAACTCCCTATACCGTGCATAGTGTGGCTCCGCCAGTACCAGAGTCCAACCCTAGGAAAGAGGCTTACCATGACGTTCCAAGACCATCAGGACCACCTGAAGTCGGAGGAGCCTCTGAGCGTCCACTGCGGTGAATTCTGCAGGTATATGCACCGCTAGGGTGCACATAAGTTCCACCTCGGCCAAGGTCACTTTCGACGGGATCGGCAGCCCTGGCAGAATGGCCCTTCGAAAACACTTAAGCCATGGGCTCCCACCGTGATGAGATTTGCTCTCCAGACTCGGATCGTTCCCTCGAGCACCGTAATCTTCTCCCATGAGGTAGTATCTACCTTTTGCTTCAGTGATAGCGGCTTTCAACAGACTCCTCACATGGCCGCGGCGACATCAGCTGTGTTGGCCGTCCATCTCGAGCGAATGCCAGCACTACTAGTGAGCTTGGAAAGCATGCCTATGGCTTCCAGTATGTCGCTACCATAAATGCACAGAGGGCCATACCGGAAAAGGTAGTATGCACCCGAGATGTACCTAATATGGGCAAGTCGTCGACGTGGTCAGTGCGGACGATTCTGACTTGGCGAAAGCTCCCATCGGGAGAACTGATGAGGCCGCTCTCAAGGCTTGGAGGAAATTGCCACCCAGTCTGTAGACCATAGCGACGTTGCTCTCTGGAGTCGACTTGAACGCTGTTAGTCGACCGGCGAGGTACCTGAAACCACGACCAGTAGCAACAACTGTCCGATGGGGCGTACAGTTGTATCCTCTCCTGCCGTGCTTTCACCCGGTCTAGCAGTAGATCTCTGGCGGCTTCACTGAGGCAGGTATGGCACAGAGTCCCATTCAACTTGTTGAGGCCCTTCCGGACCTCCTCTCGAGTGGCGGAGTCCCGTGTCTGGAATAGCACGTAGACCTGGAAGGGTCAATCCCTCGGCCCTCACGTCTAATCCAAGATCGTCGTCCTCATCAACAGGGTGGTCGAGCGCCTCTGGGTCGGCCCCATTCTCATGCTCTAGTTGCTGTACATCTTCCAAGGTGGTCCAGTCGGGGTCAGCGGACAGACCTGACCAAGGCCTGCCCGGCAGAGTCTACAACGAGACCCCACGGTTTGCACGCATGACACTGTCTTGCAGGTCGGCAGGGATGAGTGGCATCTCGGCGGCGGCCTCAGCTAAGCACGCCTTACAAAACTGATGGCCGCACATCGGGCACACCCTGGCCCTGAGGATGTGCCCTTCTCTACAGTAGAGGTTGTCGTTCAAACTGACCTGTTGGTAAAACTGAAGTCGACGGTGCATTTCCAACAGCTCGGTGGCCGTGGCGGGTCCCGTCGAGCCTGCTGGTCGCCTCCGAGGGCAGTAGCGTCAGTCCTGGACCGTCGTAGAGAAATAATGTTCACCAGACTGGCCACCCAGCCACGTCGCTGTGGGTCGACGACGCCACTGGCAGTCTCCTCCTCCACCATGTCCTCGTCGTGGTCCAAGTCTATGATGGGAATACTGCTGGTCACACCTTGAGCACGCCCCTCTTGTGGAGGACCGAAGGCAGAGGTACTGTCCGATACGCTCGAGATGGGCAACCTGGGTTACAATTGCAGGTACCATTATAGCGGCTTCAGTTCACCTCAGGTGGGCCATAGGGCTCCCTGTGGACGATGGTACGGCCTCTGTGCTTGGAGGGCCTTTGGCTCCTGTGAGTCTCTTCAACATGACTCGAAATCCCCTCGATGCTACGCACTGTCGGAAACTGGCAGCAGACCCTTGACAAACAGGGCGCGCCAAAACGTCTCAACTACGGCAGCGTACGAATGCTAGTTATGTCCCACCAAGCTATGTAGTAACACGACTCAGCTATAGTACAACTGATATCAATAGTGGCATGCATACAGGTATAGTGGCATTTCAACTAGGCCCCTCTGCATCAGCCTTCCGTCGTGCCGATGCCCAGGCCCCGATGTGTTCCCATGGATCGTCAGGCATCTTCACTAGGAGCTCCGCTATCATCGCCTGAAAACAGCAGTCGCCGAAACTGGGCCCGCAACACCTACCTCAATGCCCTGCTGCAACTGATGGTCCCGTAGGTAGGTGGCAGTTGCTGAGACCACTCTGTGTGTGCCTATGGCCGTCCTAGCGTCCAGGGGTTCCTCAAAGGAGTTCTCGTATTCAACCTCCATATCGTCACCGTCATCACCACTACGCATTCTAACCTACCAACGATCGTTCAGAAAGATGCACAGGCTCAGCTAGCACGTGTGGCGGTGAAAATACGGAAAATTCTGCGGAAATTTTGGAAAATTTTCAGGGATTTTTTTCACTTCTACCCGAATCGGTACACGAGCTCCTATAATCAGTAGTGATTGAACTCAGCTGTGCTCGACTGAGATATTCCAACACTGCGCACACAAAGAAAACGACCGAGACCATACGCCAGTCTACCTTAGCGACGCCCTTAGCTGTCGGGGGTATCACCAAAGTCCCCTCCAACACTGGAGCGAAAATCTCAAGTTTAACTTTAGACGAGGCGTTTTCTATCAGGGCAGTACTCGTAGAACAACAAGGGATGTATCTTGCGCACAGCGAAGATTTACCTCAATAGCGAGACGGGCCCACCTGCTCCTGCACGTCGGAGCATCTACGTCGGTTATCCGTATGAAGGACCCTTCAGGGGCCGATACCACATCCGAGAACTTCAAACGAGTCGTCACACTCTTCAACGAGCCAAGGGCGGCCGCCTGTTGCTGAACACCATCGATACCCTCGTCCTTGGACTCATGAGGCTTCTTTTCTTTAGTCATTAAAGAAAAGAATAAACTCGACCCCCCAGCCTTGCTATCATGTCGTGACAGGTCTCTTCCTCGTTGCCCCTAAGGACCCTTCACTGTGTAGACAACTCGACTGAGACCCTCAATAGGAGACGTTATTTTCACGAGTACTCGGTTAAATATCATCCCTGACCTTGATCGTCAGAATCACTATCCCCTTCCAATGCCGCCAACAGGTCGTCCTCGTCTACAGTGAGACCACCCACGAAGCCCTCCTCGCTACTGCTGTCCACCGTTGCCACAGTGGTGAGCAGATCGTTGGGCCTTCGCCGGGCCGGGCTTGCGTCGGCCTCACTGTCGTGAGGGTCTTTGGTGTACAGTTGCGGTGCTTGCCAATGGACACGCATAGGAGTGGCCTCGATAGAACTCAGTTTGAAGGGGCCGAACTAAGGCAGAGGTATGAGCCCAACGCCTAACACAGCGTGCCCACCTTGGGTCGTTGCCAGGTTGCTAGGGCATGTAGTAAATACCACACATGGACAACTGGAACTCCCATCTCCATTGCCTGTTGGGCCTTCCTAGTCTCAGTATTGCTCGCAACAAGGACATCTATAGGCGGACCTGAGGTACACTACCAAAACCATCTTGACGAGTATACTCCTACGTGACGAGCTGTCTAGCCCTGCTCGTGGCCCCGCTATGTCAGTGACCACAGTGGCCCCAAGTCTATGGAGTAGGCGTATGACAGGATGCTGAGCAGGGTCCCAATAGTTGCTGGGGACTAGACCAGAATGCCCAACCCTGAGCCCCTGAGACGACAACACTACTGCTAACCCGCCAGAGATAGCCCGCTCACCTCCAATGTTTGCTCCCGGATCGCCGGTATAACGGGTCGAACATCCAACTTGGTGGCATCAAGTTCATCGCCGACACTACATACCACAGACACTGTCAAACTCAAGCACCTCGAGGCCAGTACCCCGTGGCCAGCTGGGCCGCCGCATAAGTCCGTGTATGAATATTTCGCAGCATTTCCGTCACATAGTGCAGCTGCCTATCCGACTCGGCCATTTCGAGCCACTTTCGATCCCTGAAAAATTGAGTTAACATTTGAGTGACCAGAGGCTATGAGTACCGTGGTGGTGCTCCTTCCTCGGGAGGGGTCGGGACTGCCGAGCTGCTGGCGTCCGCTGGGTGGTGGTACTCGGCCAAGGGGGCCATGGCGCGCTTGCCAGCGCCCGCCGCTATAATGGCGTTCAGTTGACCTGTGGGAGGGGGGTCACGCAGGAAGTGAAAGAGGTGTGGTATTCACCTTCGAGGGACACTCGGAGCCTCTCTGAATCCGGGAAGAAAACATAAGGGGTCACTTTGATGAGGCTGTGCTCGTTGTCCTTGGCCTCCCACACGTCGTCCCGATCGTCCACAATCACAGCTAGCCGGTGGTTCGACGGGAATATCCTCGACAGAGTCTGAGCGACCAACGACCTTGCACAGCAACAAAGGCCCGCCTTCCCACCTTGCACGTTAGGGCTGACTGAGTGGGTCGCGCAATCAACCGTGGCGGCGCTAAAAGCATGAGCTCAACAGTGGTAGTAACTACAAGTCGCCTACAGCCAAAGTATCGTGCGGAGGGGTCAAGGGCCTTGAGGAGTCGGATCGCGTACTCCCTGGTGCCGTGTGTATAGAGATAGAGCTCATACAACGGGAGTATTTCTTCCAGGAATGTGTAACTACAAGTGAGCCCCTCGCATGGGAGATGAAGGTGCGCTCTATTACAACCCGGGTCTAAGCTTAAGATAGCAGCACGCCGTTGTCGTAGGGCTGGTCCCGATGAAGAACTGATACACCTAGGGCACCTCGGGGTCTGACAAACGACCCTATCGAGATCGCCAACTACCTTTTCCTCGTCAAGCCTGCCCGTATCCCTATTGGGCGCTAGATTATAGCAGGTTACATCTAACACACGATTACATGGGGCATTCCCTGGCGTAGTCTACGGACCCGGGAAAAGGAGGTCGATCCTCTTGTTGGTGACATGTAGGATGGTATGGTCAATGTCAAGAACAGCTACTAGCCTTTTAGAGGCTGCTAATGTACGTATCGTAGACGACTCCAATGACGCAGCGAAAGCCTGATGGGATATTGCCCACTACATGGGGACACCGCAGGCTTACAGCGGACACTCTGATACCAGCATCAGCACTGAGGAATTCGGTAGCATAGTAGCCGCCTTTCTCGAGGGCCGCCCGTCGTTCTAATACAAGAAGGCATCAGCTACTACCAGGTGGAGTGAGAAGCATACCCTCATCACTATCAACGACGGACTCCTCTTGAGGCCCTTCACTATCGTCATCATCAGCAGAAAGGTCATCGTCCTCCAGCGAGAGGGGGTCTTCCTTCCAAGCATTGACCCCAGACGACGACCCAGCGTTATGGCCCGGCCCGGCATCTCCCTTCCCTAGCTCAGTGCTATCCACTATAGCACAGCAAGTGGCACACATCCCTTGCCAGACCAGGTCGTGAGGACACTAAGAGTCGCACATACCACCCTAGTTAAACCAGTGGGAGAAGTATGCATATGGTCAACTACATGTGTTGGTGACAATACGAAAATTCAAAGGGAATACTGGGAAATCGAGATCTACCCAAATTCGTATATGAACTCCTATAACTAGTGAGGAAGCTCCTGAGCTCAGCTAAGGAAACCAAACATAGGGAGCGTATTTTTTCTCTCAGGCAACTTCATAAACTTAGCAGTTCACACTAACAGAGTGGTGTTTCAGGCTGAAACTTAAACAAGGCTCAGATACAGAGATGCCCTAACATACACTAAAGTGAAACGGTCGTATTCTTGACCGTCACACATATCTTATATTCCAACACTGAGCAGAGCCTGGCCACTATCACCTCATCCTTCCTCCCCTGCTGCTGCTGGTCGTCGTCTCCTGTTGCCTGTCGTTTCGACGAGCCCCCCTCTAGTTTATCCATAAGCCTCATACCAGCCTTCCGTTTGCTCCCCCCGTCCCTGGAAGGCAGTGGAGGCACTACATCTTCATTGCATCCCAGTGCTTGACTAGGCGAGGAAGGAGAGGAAGAGGACATCGGTCAAGGCTGACCCTACAGTGACGGGAACATCAACGCTAATAAGAGTAACATTACTATCAACTCCACAGAGACTCTCGACACTGAAACGCATTGTTTAAACTGCACTCAAGTTCTCACATCTAGGACATAATTATCAAACTATCATACGGAAAATGTCACTGCCCGCCTTGCCACGCTACCGCGGGCTTATCTCTACCCCCAAAACCTCCTGGCGGACCAACTCGTAGACGTAAAAGTTGATGCCGACTGCCGGGATTACTTTAATTAGCTCGGGAATCTTGGAAGAATATCATCAATAACAGCGTGGCTGCTAAACCCCACTTACCAAGCCGCGATAGAGTCCCCGAATGGACTCCGCTTTCACAATCTGCCGGGCGACTGTCAAAAAACTGGGCGCGGCCACTCCCACGCACATCTGTTGGCGGCGACGTATGAGGTCCAGAGGGAAAATGATCATAGAAGCTGTTGAGCCTAGAGGAGGGGCCCATCACGGTCCGGGGGAGACCCAAAGGGCCAGCACGCCTACCCGCCATTGCCCCGCAAAGGAGACTCGACAACCAAGTGCCCCTCTGCTTCTCAAGGGCATTGAATGAGCTCATGCCGAGCACCTGCCTGAATACCCATTTCTCTATCTCGATCGCCTTCACCTGAATTTATCACAATTCCATTTAGAATTGAGAAACTCCTGCGCTACCTGAAGAGTTTCATAAATGGCGAAATTAAGCGCTATGTTCAGCCCTTGGCACCATATTGTTACTCCCAGGCCTTTGAAAAGGGAGCTCAGGCCTTCCGTCCGCGCGATCTCGCGAAGTGTTGGTATGATACCCCAATTTCGGAGAGTGTCATTGGTCGCTAAACGAGTTCTGACCAAATCCAACGGATAGGTAGCGACCTGGAAAGGAGAGGATTCGTGCAAATTTTGGTATGAGCTATTTACGTTGGCAGCGCAGCCTCCCATAAATCCGGCCAGGAACCGGCATGATATCCCTGGGTCGGTCGGCGACAACCAGTACGGCCGCATTAGAATCTTTGCTTTCTCGTAAACGTAGTAATTTATGGCACCATATGGAAACTTGTGGATCACCGATACGAGGTTACCTAGGAGCCCAAGTCGGATATCTTAGGTTGGTTCGTGGAAGATACGGATCATGTCCACTAAAGGACCATCCCTCTTTCAGTACCTCGCCACATGCTCGTAATTCCCTCTTTCTCCAATATATTTTTCATGGTCCTATATATCGAATCCTGGGAGTGCACCGTCTTGGAGGCCCCCATCGAGCTCACCTAAGACCCCATTCACAGCAACCCCCCGGGGCCCTCCCACCTGGTAGAGTATGGTCAACCTCGACAATGGGGCCGTCGCCGTCTTCGCCGTCGCGCTGCCACAGGACCCACCCAACAGGCTGGCCCACACCTTATAGTCCTGTTGGGTACTGCTACTACTACCGTTAACCATAGAAGGACCAGTCACATTTACAACAGCTTCGTTCCACATTGGAAAATCTTGCGTTCTTAGACTTCCTCAACGCCAAATAGACGGCTTGGTTGAATTGATCAGCGTGTAAATTTCCGCTCTCTCCCACATGATGAGCTCGTCTCCTCCTCAATCTTTGGATCGAACTCCTCCACCGTTCGATACGCGGAAACGTGTGCTAGGAGTAGGGCGTATCGATCTGATCATTGGAATGCCATATGTTCAGGTTGAAGACGCTACGTTGGGGACTTTCAACGCAGGGGGAGGATGCTGGGCCAGTAGCTCGCTAAGAGGCCGAAACCCACGGGGCGAGTAGGGGTTATAACGTGTAAATGGGGTATAGCCGGACCGGCAGGTACCCTGAAAACAAGGGCGAGACTTTTCCGCAGTACCACGAGTGTTTCCCTTACTCAGTGAAAGGTCAACATATCCTCCACCATCCCTGCCAGGAGTTTGAGGGTCCTGCCAGGGACTATCGTAAGGCGGGTGCCTTGGCTAGGAACATGACTGGTAAGCAGCGCGACTACCAGGGAAAATAACACCAGAAGGGTCGCATTTGCGATTCAATCTCTTCTTCCCAAACTCTTGCAGCGTTGCGAATCTCTTCACCTTGTGGATCCGATATCAAAGAGAAGATCATCCAATCGCGTTCGGTGCTCTTTACACTTGCCGTTTCGTAGGTCACTGTACGATTAAGGACGATCTCAACATGTGGTACTACGGCCATAGCAGGAGCTTTTATGGCAACAATGCTGGCTCATTTAATACGAAGCTGTACCGATCAGAGAGCATGCAATAGCCGTTGTACATGTTCACGCCAAGTGTTCGGGTTCAACATACTAGCCGTTGAAATTTGAGAGTTCAGCTGTAATTGTCGCCGAATAGTTGTCTATCGAGTACCAGATTAATGCATACCTCATCCCTAGCGGCAGTGGAGAAGTCAAGGAGTGCTCTGCCAACTGATCCAATCCCCAGACCCCTCAGGGCCAGCGCATCATTAGCTGTTGTTGGGAAGGGTCATAGTAGAGAGGCACGCCGACGTAATCTGGGAAAAAGTAGGACAGCAGTGCTCCCAGCTCCATGGGGAAGTCGTCAAAATCTAGGTGTATCTGCTCGGGAGCTTGGTCTGGACTTTTTCCATACTCTCTCTGAACAGAATGGCCCTGCTACATGTCTGGGGAGGACCAGGTATGTCAGCGAATATCACGCTTCTTCTGTTGCTCAAATACGACTGCTAGGATGAAATATGATTCAACTGATTTGATCTGCCACTCTCGGGAGACATATTCTGACGACTTAGATTCACGACATGGGGTCCTGGTCCACCGAGAGCGGGTAGTACCCGTTGGCGACGGGATTTAAGATTAGAGAAGAAAAGTCGAATCTTTGATTCAAGTGAACATCCCGCGACGCAATTCAAAAGGATGTATGAAAGAGGAGATATGCCTTTTGTCATAAAGCACGGTAAGTTGAAAAATTTTTTGTCGGATGGTTAAATGAGCCTTCTGCCGGAGTTGAACCGACGACCTCCCGCTTACTAAGCGGGTGCTCTACCAACTAAGCTAAGAAGGCTGCTGAAGGTTGTGTTATACCGTTCATATCAGGAGCCAAGTGTTATCTTGATTGGAGAGTGTCTCCCTCAAAACTAGACTATCAGCACTTTCTGCCCGTGTTCGTCGACGGTACGAGAGAAAAGAGTGAACCGTAAGATGAAGAAAGATCACACAATAGGTCACATCGCGACTCAGATACCGATTCATGGCCCGTGAGGCTTGTCTAACCCTCATCAGGGAAGGAAATGAGGCTAAGATACTATCAGCAGTCCCACAGTTGGTGGTACCGCTAAGACAGGCTTTGAATACAAGGGACCCAGAGACTGTGGTAGGGCCTAGGGGCATCGACGCTCACAATGCGTATATCACAGCTGAGCAGGTGAACACTCTACACGTGCTACAGCTGTTGGCTAAAACCTCTCCTATGGTTGGCGAAGCATTAGTGCCGTACTACCGGCATCTTCTGCCAATTATGAGTATCTTCAAACCCAAGAAGCGAAACACATGGAATGTGATAGACTACGCTCAGCGGAAGGAAGATTGGCGGAATCTCGGTACGGTATACCCTCAGCAGACCTCTGTCCCACCTAGTTGCTAGGAACTCTCATCGAAGAAACACTGAACGTGCTGGAGTTGACTGGAGGTGAAGATGCATTCGTTAACATCAAGTACATGATACCCACGTACGAGAGTTGTGTCTATTGAAGTCGTTTGAGAGTCTCAAATGAAGACCCATGGAGAATCTTACAAGTTATGGTATTCATCAGATGTCCCAGTGAAGTAGATCTTGTGTTAGTCCATACGGTGCTTTATGTCTCAATTCAATATTGACACGGTCCACTCGAACTCTTTCACTTGAAAACACAGCACTACCATCTTGGCGTTCGGTAAGAAACACAATAAGTATCTCAATTCTATCACGGGGATATTACAAATACATTCCCTCAGGGATATTCCCCTTCTTGCGATACAGCGCCTTCTCTCGTGCCTTCCTCAAATCCTCAGCTGTCACACGCATGCGTCGTTCACGCAACGCCAACATACCCGCTTCAGTACCTACCAGAGTTAGAATGACTCAAACCCTCGATTCAACTGCCCTTACAAATGGCCTTGATATCGGCTCCACTGAGATCATCCTGAGAAACTACCATGCAGATCATAAATGTAATGCCTCGAGCTCACCTTGCTGTGAACGAACTCTTCCAGATCTACATCATCCGCCAGAGTCATCTTAGAAGTGTGAATTTGGAAGATGCGCCTCTTGGTGTTGATATCCGGCAAGGGGAATTCAATTTTACGATCAATTCGACCTGTGAGATGCCAGAGTGGCCGCAAAGTATCGTCAGCAAGCTGAGGTGAAATTACCAGGCCTCAAAAGAGCAGGATCAAGGCTTTCGATTTTGTTGGTGGCAAGGATGACCTTCACATCCGCCGATTGATCGAAACCATCGAGTTGGTTGAGTAACTCGAGCATCGTCCCTAAAGGCGAAAATTGAGATGGTCAGCTAGGGCGACCTCCACTCACTCTGAATCTCCCTCTCCCCTCCCGACGTCGTATCGTACCTGTAGCCAGTCGCTTAACAAGCCTGTAAAGACCCATTGCCGCCACTACCGTTTCGTTCCAACGGCATCGATCTCATCTATGAAGACGATCGATGGTGCTTGCTCATTTGCCACTCGGAACATTTCCCGAACCAACTTGGGGCCATCACCAAGATACCTACGTACGACTCTCCAGCTCTCGGCAACTAGCCGACCGCCACGTACTTCTGGATGAGCTCAGAGCCCACAACCCTAAGGAAAGTGGCGCTAGTCTCGTTCGCTACCGCCTTGGCCAGTAATGTCTTGCCAGTGCCAGGCGCGCCATATAGAATGACACCTGGAGGCAGCTAGGTGAGATTTAAGTACGATCAACGACCAGGACTACCCTTCGGAG